ATCGCATCCGCCATGCTCCAGACCGAGCAACAGCGCGTAGCGCTAGCCATCTCAAAGCACGGTGGTCGAATGCGAGAATGGGCACTGACGTGCGGCCCTTCGGTCGAACCTGCGTTTTCCTCCTGGGCGGAGCTGAAATTGCAGCTCTCACAAGTGTTCTTGCCGCCTAATCAGGCATATCGCGTACGATCGCGCTTCCTTGCCGCCCGACATGGCAACAAGGAATCGGTGGATTTTGTCCAAGAGATGCGCACTCTCGTTGCTAATATGGCAGTAGATCCCCTCTCGGAGGCGGTCACAGTGATCGTCTTCATGGAGGGCCTCCGTACCGGCGTGGCTAGGATGGGAGTCTTCCGTGTGCATCCATCTTCGTTGAAGAGGTGGTGAATTTGGCATTGAACGCCGATTTCAATTTCAAGTCGGCACGACTTAGTTGGAATGCACATTCCAGCAGCTCGTCGAGTGGGACTATGCCCATGGATCTCAGCTATGCTGAGGACGAGGGAGCCAAGCTCCGAACTGCCGGGCAGCACGCAAACACACGACGGTGTTTTGTCTGTGGAAACATCCGCACCTTCGGAACGATTGCCCCCTGCGCAAGGCGCGTCAAGGTTCTTCGAACCATCGCCCCATTTCCTACCAGTCTAGTTCTTCGCGGGGAAACAACACCACTTAGTAGGCGCGGGGCGATCTACTGGGAAAGAACTGCGTTCTGTTGAGCCTCAGGGTGGCATAGGTCAACAGGGCCCAGCCACAAAGGGCTTCGTACTCTAGAACACGGAACTTGTATGCAAGCCGGGCTTGCTGGTCGTGGAGGCAACCGTAAAGGGCTTCGAGAAGCCATGGAAGATCCTCATCGATTCTGGGCGTCGGGCAATTATGCTCGACGCACCACGATGGAAGGAAGTCAGCTGTACGCTGAAGCGCTGAAGCGCAGTTGGGTGACATCGTCACTGTTCGCCTAGCGACGGGGACACATGTCACGGTATCGAACGACCCTGTGGACCTCGAAGTCAAGTTCCTTGACTTTGATAGCGTTAAACGCTGTCTAGACTTAGACTTGGATGCAAGGTATGACCTCATCCTAGGAATGGCATGGTTGGAACATTCTCGGATTTGTAGAACCTTTACAAAAGCAACATCTGAGTGTTGAGCCATGGATTGATTGGAGGTCAAAGACAGGTGGAGCTTTGTCAAGTCATGAACCCACCTCTAGTAGGAGACAAAAGCGCTATTGGCGAGAGCACTGGA